ACTAGTTGAAAGAAAAGAAGAAAACTGTTTTTTTAAACAGTGATTTTAAGTACATTTGGCAACGCTGTTAAAAATACCCGATGATATACTTTTTCGATTTGGTACAGTGTCGCCAAAATTTTGATTTTTGCAGTGTTACCAATCAAATTTTTTTTTGGTACTTATTTATGAAAATTGTACATAAATTCTTAAATATTGAGTCTACACTTCTTCTTGATATAGAATATAGAAAACATATTTAAAAGATTCAATCTGTCACAAAATTTTGACATTTATTTTTTGACACTTAACATTTTTTTACGTCAATTTAATGACCTGTAGCAAAAAAACTTGGAAATTTAAACTCTCATAACATCGAAATTTTTCTGTTATTCTCTGGGGCGCGAATTCTGGCGCACCCTGTATATAAAATGCTCTTCTCACCTTTTCTTTCTTGCTGAAAAAGCGACCTAACGACGATTTGATACCTTTCTTCTTTTGTGCTGCTGCTGCTGCTGCTACTGCCGCCGCTGAAACATCTCTTGGTACGCCACTGACTGTATTCTTGTGCAGACTCTCCTGACTGCTGTGACGAGAGGATAGAGGTGATGGAGGTGTGTGCGTCTGGCCTTGCCTAAACACACTGCATTCTACTGTCTAAACTATCTCTAATTCGCATGCATTTTCAAGCAGACATGCTGTATGTGTAGGCAATTTTACGACAAAATGGATGTGAGAACAAGAAAAACACCCATGCAAAATTTTACTGTAGTGGCAAGTGGAYAAATATTTTTCATTTTTCATTCATTACAAAATCTGTCATTTCATAAATTTCAAACAATAATTTACTAAATGCGTCAAGTGTTGGCGATTGACCACAAACATTAGAGAAAGAAAGTAAATATAGGAATTGTCGTTGCTTAAACAAAGACAGAGATATTATAGTCACTATGCCACCAAGCTCGTGGCATGTTATTTAGCTCTAATCTAATATATTCATCTAAATATTAAAAAAACATAATTTTTGTGTCTCTGAAGTGTAGTTCAATTAATTTTGAAATTTTCAATATTTAGATTTTTGACAAAATTTTGGCCGATTTTCGGTACCACAAGCGGTTTATTGCCAATAACTATTATGTTTGGTACCGTTGGAAAGAAAATTTAATTATCGAGAAAATTTCTGCTAGTCATAAAAAAAGTAAAAACTTGTGAATGGCAAAATTAGTTTTTTCGAAGCCAATTCGGGAAACAAATTTAAATTTCAAAATATAATTTTTATTTTTTATCACTAAAGCGATTTATAATTTCAAATTTATAATTCCCAAATGAAGAATTAAATTTAAGCTTAACATTTCTGCATTCATTTGTTCAAATTATCCAAATATTGTCAATTTATTGATAGCAGTAATTTTTTATCGCCAACTGAGAACACACTTT